CTTTTCCTGCCATTGAAGTTTTGTATAAAAATAAACAATGAAACACAATAACATTAATAGATGACGTCACCATTAATAATAGACGTGACGTCATGAATCCCATATGAAATCTACTGACCCCATATGGATCCATAGGTGGTCACCACGTGACAGCGTTAAACAAAACATAACGTCACTGATAACCCAAGGTGTGATAAAGACAGGTATAATTTGATTTTGTAGTTTCACTTGTATCATTCTAGAGTTATGGTACTTGATTGTTGGAAAAGCTTAAGGTGTATAAATTAAGTAACATTATAAATGGACTGGGTGCAAAAAATTATCTCTTTCTGTTTGAAAGTGTTATATTTTTAGAAAAGTATGGAAAATTGAAATTTTGTGTTTTTAACTTCAAACTGAAATATCTTTTTGTGTACATGATGTAAGTCATGAAGGTATATTTATTACCTGCGCCTGAAGCAAGTCTAGTTACCTCTCGACTCCGTCTTGGTTTCTATGAAGGGGAAGGATTTGATATTTGGTCTGCAGCTTTATAATGTTGAGTTGTAGCAAGTAAGAAATTTTTACATCTGCCCTGTAGCCACTTCCTGTTTGCCGATAGTTTGAAATTTTACAAGGAAAATTTTTGTCAAAGTTTTCTTTGCTTCATTGAAAGGGAATGATCAGTTATGCTCCAGTATACATTTTACCTAAATCAATTGCATGTAGTGACATAGGTCCAGACCTGGTATTGGTCTTGTTTTGCATATAAATGATAGTGCATATCAAAATTGATTGTGTCAAAATTTAAAGGAAAAATCAACAAGCAATCTTTTCTGTATCATATGCTTTGAAATGACGACTTTTGTCTAATTTTCATGTTTTTTTTGCAATTATCTATAAGACTATAGCAGTTATGTTAAGTAGAACTGTATACTTAAAAATGATTAGCAATACAAGAGCTGCAAAAATGTTAATATTACAGAAACCGTTATATGAGTCTTTAAGAAGCTATTCAATTGTCCTTTAATTAAGGACGATTTTTGTCTTATTTTAATGTGTTTTTCCCAGTTTTTATATACTATCTCAAAAACTACAATAGATGGATAGAAACTGCAAAACACCAAAAAAGATCTGCTAGGTAAGATCAACAAATAAGCAAGTGTCACAAATTGCAAAACAGGTGAAAATAAATGTCAAAATATCAGGTGTGCAATTAAGCCTGTTCAGGCTCTTTGGAGTTTCCAACTTCTATAAAGAATCTGGTTAGATGTATACTTATAGTGATCAAATCTTTTTTTTCACTCAAATTTATTTTAAAAGGCCTAGGGTAAAAAGTGGTTTTATCAACTAAAAGTAAATATTAATAAATCAATTAATAATCAGAAAAAAATCAAGATTATTGGGCTTGTGAATATGTGCTTAATTGGTTAGAGCTGTTGTCTGCTCTATGGTCGGGTTGTTGTCTCTTTGACACATTCCCCATTTCCATTCTCAATTTTACCTACAGGAATGGTATATACTGTGAAAACCTTTCTGTGACTAACCTTTACCTGAGACTACTATAACACTATCATAGTGTTATAGTAGTCTCAGCCTTTACTCAGTGTTAAATAATGGCAGTTTTAAACTCAGATATTTTTGAGAGGTCATCTGTCCAGGAGGCAATTGTCACAGATGTAGCCTGTAATCAATACTCCAAACTGTGATGTCTAATTCCTGGATTTTTCCTGAATTTTAATCTGTGTATTTAAGAATGATTAACACACTATTACCAATGAGATTAGATATGAACAGGTCATAAAAATCAATCAAGGCTACTGCAGTCAAATTCCAGGTAAAGTCGTTTTTATTTTAATTTATATTTTTCTATAAAGAAAAATGGTAGGAGAAAAGGAGAAGATTTTTCGATAGGATTTAGGGTTTTCATCCACAAAATGTAAATATTCATTGAACACACATATAAGTGCATTTTCATTTGTTATTTTTTTCTTATTATATTGTAAGTGTATATTATAGTCAAATTTCATAGATTTTGTAACATATATATATACATTTGTACATGTATGTATCAACTATTGTTTTTGTCCTTGCTTGTATTTTTTTTTAATGTTTTTTATCAGTGCTTCCATACATTGTGTAGCTAGATTAAATACAAATTTGGAAGAATAAAATCTATCAATGTTATCTATGATTTTTATTCAATAATGTCATATTTGATGAAATATGTTGAATAATCTGGCTGTTTAAACTTACACGTGGTAATTTAACTTGCAAATTCCATTCAATATCTGCTTATGTGTTTTATGCCATAAGCATAAATAGATATATAAATGACATGTGTTACAGGTTCATGATGTTATTGAAACGAAGGTTATCAAATATGCCGTCTGGCCCTAGAGGGGTTGATACCTTAATTTTAAGAATGAATGAAACCATATTTTTTTTGTCAAAAGCATCTGACTTGCACAATCTTGACTGTCTGTACGATTACAATTTTTTGAAGAATTCTGGTTTGTTTGTTTTTTTTTTAGAAATGGCTCAGCTTTTATTGTTATGTTAACTTGCAGATAACTAAGCAGCTTGCTGTCCTTGAAAATTTGGTCTGAAGCTGTCGAAACTGAACGTAAATTTCAGACCCTTTATTTGTCTACAGATATCAATTAAACTCCGTTTGGTGAATCAGTTGAAGTGTTGTTGTCAATTTTGAATATTAGATATCAATTAAGTCAAAACTCAACATCAGTAGTTAGAAGAGTTAAAATGCAACCAGCGATTTTTTTATTCTCTCATTTTATTCTCTCATTTTTTTATTCTCAATTTTATGTCAGACCAAATTTCAACTTTATTGGTTTAATGGTCATTATCATGTACAAGTGTTGACAAATGTCAGAGGGAATTTGCACTGATAAGAACAGTATGAGACAGTACACCAGATGACACATACGTCAGTCAAAGGTCACCTTAAAGTTGGAAACAATCAGGTTTGGAAACGTGGAATTTTTAAATGCAGTTATTTAGTATAATTGACTGGATTTTATCATTGATACACATTGCATGTAGTTTAATAAGTCACGTTTCCATCCATATTCATCAGGGTAATTTTGTCATTTAATAATATACCGGTATTATTAAAGGGACATTGGCCACGATTTAGACAAAAAATTGAACTATTTTTTTTGTTTCAAGTATTAATAAAAGCAGAATGTTGAAATAATATTTCTGTATACCTGCAGTTAGTTTGGCCCAAATTTGTCAAAATAAGCTTAAATACATCGAAGATGACTTGATACATGTATTTTAAGTTTATTCATAACCACAGGAAGTGATGTCCTTGTGGTGTAATTTCACACCCAAATTAGAAATAACCACTTCCTAAGAGCTGATTATTGACCTATTCAAAAATATACGCTTAAGCAATTTGAAAAATTCTTCAAAACTGCTGTTAATTGTGAAGTTTCCAAAGGTGACAAACATCAATTATTCACTTTATCATAATTTGGCTGGAAAATAGAAATTTTGTTATTATATATAATGCTACAAAGAACTGAACAAATTATTGTTATTAAAAAGAGAAGTGAAAAAGACCTGTATATGTCTTATGGGTTTTTAAAATCAAGTTTCTTACAGCCACATCTTTTATTCAAATCTTAAAATTCTTTTCAAACGGGATGTATAGAGACACACACACGTTCATTTTTATCTATAAAGAAGTCACTCCTAACTATCCTACTACCTGATGATACATTTATTTTTGGCATTGCACAAGTCATGTCTTCTTTGACTGTTCATGACGTTAAAATACTAAATCCCTGGGATGTATTTTAGTTGATTTTAGTCTCTGATGCATGATTTTTTATTATTAACTGTTTTGGCTTTGAACTAGCTGTCAGTAACTGCGAGTACTCTCAAATCGTACTTTCTTTTTAATTTGACCTGTTGATACTATTTGTAATGCTTTTTTGTTATTTAATGTTAACATGGATCTTGTCTATATACCAGCTTTGATTATTTGGTATTTAATTACTACAGATTTTCACTTCTTCGTACTATGAACATCAAAATTATTTCATTTTTCCTTAGATGCTATTCTTGGACCTGTACAGGAAGTTTTATCTAGCACTAATTGTATATTTTAATGTTGATATTCACCCCATATGTACCAAGTGTTATATTAGTTTTATTGATATTAAAGAAATTTCTTGGTATTCCTAAACGGAAGATTTTATACACACAGAAGAAGAAGTATACATAACAACAAAATTATTTTCATTTACCTGTGTATAATATGACGCAGGTTTCTTCAAAAGTGATGATTTTCTATAAATTGTTTGAAATTTCACAGTGATAACATATTCTAACTTTGTTTAAACCTGTTTATTTACTTTTGACTTTAATTATTTATCCCTTGTAATTTTTTATTAACTATGTATTTGCATTCAGGTGTCACAGGTCAAATTTATTCGTTCATTGTGTGTTAATTTACGTTTTTTGATTGAGTTAAGCCTTCCAATTGATATTTTATAGTGTGTTTTTCTATGTTGTGATGTTATACTATTGTTTCAGAAAAGGGAGAAGGTTTGGTACCATTAAAACGTTTAATCCCGCTGCCAATGTTTGCACCTGTCCTAAGTCAGGAATCTGATTACAGTAGTTGTCGTCTGTTTATGTAGTTCATACGTGTTTCTCGTTTCTCGTTTTTATATAGATTAGACCGTTGGTTTTTCCGTTTGAATGGTTTTACACTAGTAATTTTTTGGGGCCCTTTATAGCTTGCTGTTCGGTGTGAGCCAATGCTCCCTGTTGAAGGCCGTACCTTGACCTATAATGGTTTACTTTTATAAATTGTAACTTGGATGGAGAGTTGTCTCATTGGCGCTCATACCACATCTTCCTATATCTATTAAAATTTTCATAGTCAAGTGTACATTCATTTCAAGTCATGAATGGATTAAACTTTTATAGAAATATCTTAATTGTTTCATTTGAATTTATGTGGTGGTATTTTACGTATTTTTCAGGTAATGTAAACCATGGTACTACATCTGGATGAATTTGTTTACCTGAGGAAAAGTGACAAAGAAAGAAAATAAGATGCTGACGCTGGACATTTCTATCATGACATAGATACAAGGAACAAAAATAGACTACAGAACATTTACCAAGGTATCATACCATTACACTAGAAGAGGGTTTGGATGGGGTCCATCATTTCTGTATTCTTTTAATTTTTGGAATATTTCTATATTCTTAATATTTTTGCACATTATTCTCTATTCTTTATATTTTAACACCCCATTTCTCTCTATTCTTTATTTTTTTGCCCCTTATTCTCTCTATTCTTATTTTTTGCCCCTTTTTATACGCCCGTTTACGGGACATATTATGGTACACCGTTGTCCGTCTGTCCGTCGTCAACATGTCGGACATTAACTCAAAAATGCTTTACCCAATTTGCATAAAACTTTGGTGAATTGTTTATATCTATTGACGTGAGCTCCCTTTCGTTTTTTATAAAATTTAGATTTTACGTTTCCGAGTTATGAAGTTTTATTCATTAAAATAAGGGGGATTTTCCAGTTTTCGGACAATAAGTCAAGAATGCTTTCACCAACTTGCAAGAAATTGTGGTGAATTGTTTATATCTATTGACATGAGCTCCCTTTTGATTTTTATAAATTTTAGATTTTATGTTTCCGAGTTACAGGGTTTTATTCATAAAAAAAGGGGTGATTTTCCAGTTTCGGACAAAAACTCAAAAATGCTTTCAGCAATTCTTATGAAACTTTTGCGAATTGTTTGTATGTATTGATATAAGCTCCCTTTAGAATTTTATAAATTCTATACATTTCTGAGTTATGGGGTTTTATCCATTAAAAAAAGGGGTGATTTTCCGGTTTTCAGACAATAATTCAAAAATGCTGTCACCAATTCTCATGAAACTTTGGTGAATTGTTTATGTAAGCTCCCTTTTTATTTTCATAAATTTCTAATATGACATTGAGAATTAATTAAACTTTATTTGTTTATAGTCTGACAACAGATTTACTAAGTATTGCACAACAGCAAGAAATCTTTAATTGAACATAAATTCAAATCATATAACCAATTTCAAGTTCTTTGACTACATTTATTTAGAAACCTATAATATGATAAATATTTAATTACAATCCAATTTCAGACCTGAATCAAGCTTGAATATTGTGTCCATTTTTGCCCCAACTGTTCAGGGTTGGACCTCTGCGGGCATATCTAGCTGCGCTCAGCGAAGCAGTTTATTCTCTATTCTTTAATTTTGGCCACTTTTCTATTCTTTTGGGCCATTATTCTTGATTCTGTAAACCCCATCCATATCCTCCTTTAAACTATGCATTGTTACCAATATACTTTCAGCTGGTCAGTTCACTTTGGATTTTTTTGAAGATTCAAGATCTAAAGCTACAATCATATTTATTACAGTTGATCTGTATGGAAATCAGCCACCTCTAGCTGAGGCAAAACAAAGACTTGAAAATTAATATTTGGCATAAAATTGCTTTCTCTGAATGACTTGCTTTTTCAACTTAAATGTTTGTGGAGAAATAAACTTTCAATTTTAAAAAACTGTTAAAGAACAAAAAGAATTTGAGAGAAAAAAATGTTTGTCAAGAGCTGCATTTGACATGCATGTTTTAACGAAAATAGTGGTGGATATTTTAGGGGTTCTTGGGCAATAATCTTTATGCACTTCCCATGAAAAAGACAGAAGGGTCACAAACTTTTAAATTGTGTACAAGTTGAACATAATTGAAAACCATAAGTAATACACTGAAAAGTTGTAAATGTTATCAATATACTATTAAAAGACTAATGTCTTTAGAATTTGAACCCATTTGAATTTGTAGATAGTATTAACAGGTAGTATAGACATGATACTGATGATATGTATGATTTGTAAATAGAAAGTTTTGATGGAATAGAGTTTATACTTAAAGAAAGTCTTGGAGCACAAGGACTTCTCTTTGAAAAAAATCACCTATATACTTTAAAATAAAGTATATTATATACTTTAAAATAAAGTATATATAGGTAAAAAAAAATCAGAGACAAGTGCCTATGTCTCGAAGGCTTAAAATACTGATTTTTTTTTGGGTGTACAATATTAAAAAAACGTATAGGACTTTTTATGTCTGTCATGTCAGTCTGCTGTAAAAAAAAATTCTTTCTGTGTAAATCAATGGTCCAGTTGGAACCTTAACACAATTATCCTTTCATACAGTTAGTTTTTAATTTATATATGGTCCCAACCCATTGGCAGGGCATTGTAAATATCAAAAGAACTAAATTTTGTTCAATTTGTATACTTTTGACATAATTTAATTTTAAGACTATAAATAATAGATATAAGTTTTATTAAAATGACAGCTACCCCTTCCTTTGGTAAAACCCTTCTCGCATGTTTTGAGAATAATCCCTATTTAAATTCTGAAATGCAACGAGATGATTGAGTGTTGTTTGCTAGGGCATCCAGTGGCAAATATTTCATGCATGTTCAGGAGAAGGTTCCATAAAAATTATATTTTGATTTTGATCAAAATTATTTTTATGGCCCCGCAACAAAGTTGTCAGGGACATATAGTTTTTCCCTTATCTGTTATTCTTTCATTCCGCAACGAACAGTTATATAGACTTTTTATACGACCGCAAAAAAATTGTGCGGTAGTATATTGGTATCATGTCGTCGTCGTCAGCGTCGTCCGAAGACATTTGGTTTCCGGACAATAACTTTAGTAAATGTAAATAGAAATCTATGAAATTTAAACACAAGGTTTATAACCACAAAAGGAAGGTTGTGATTGATTTTGGGGGTTATAGTCCTAACAGTTTAGGAATTAGGGGCCAAAAAGGGGCCCAAATAAGCATTTTTCTAGTTTCCAGACAATTACTTGTGGAAAGGTGTATGGATCTCTGAAATTATACCAGAAGTTTCCATACCACAAAGGGATGGTTAGGATTGGCTTTGTGGGGATTATGACTCAAACAGTTTAGGAATTAGGGGCAAAAAGGGGGGGGGGAACAAGGGTTTCCTGGTTAATGGACAATTAAAAAAAAGTACAATGTTAAGTTTGGATTACCTCTCTTACACTGCTTTTAAATTATGTATAAAGAAATGTTGTATTGTCTTGAGGTGATTAGCTGTCAATTTATTTTTAGAAGTTACTATTTAAAAATGCTGATTAAGGAATATTTGATATATTAATTTTAGCCATTATTATGTATGTCATTTTCTATTTGAAGACTTTTATGATGTATTTAAATGGGTAATTATGGTTGCAAACTCCATTGGAAATTTGAAATGAGATTATTTCCATATCTTGAGGGAAAGAATTTTTTTTTTTTGGGGGGGGAGGTGAAAAAAAAATTTGGGGGGGGGGGGGTGGGGGGGGGTTCAATTTGCAACAGCATAGTGTATTGCACAAAAGCAAAAAATTGAATATAAATTCTAAGTTCTTTGACTACAGTTATTCTGTCTCAGAAACCTATTATGTGTCAAATATTTAATTGCAATCCAAATTCAGACCTGTATCAAGCTTGAATATTGTGTCCATTTTTGCCCCAACTGTTCAGGGTTGGACCTCTGCGGTCGTATCCAGCTGCGCTTGGCGAGGCAATTTATTTCTAAACACCTTCACATGCTGAGTAGATTTTTAGTATGTGAGTTTATTATAATGAGTCACAGATCTAGTTTACGTTTGGTTCTGCTCCTCTGATTTTTGCCGAAATTACGGGCTTTGAACTTTAAACATTTCATGAAAACATATTGAGCTGATTTTTAGTATGGGAGTCTACTATGATGAGTTACAGATTGAGTTTACATCTGGTTCTGCTCCACTGAATTTTTATACAGACTTTCATTCTAAAATTTTCACTCCTAAAAATGGCTTCAAGCTTTTTTTGCAAGCAGGGCCATTTGTGTCGTTATCGACAATCTAGTTGTTTTTTATACGCCCGTTTACGGGACGTATTATGGTATACCGTCCGTCCGTTGTCAACATGTCGAACAATAACTTAAAAATGCTTTAACCATATTGCATGAAACTTTGGTGAATTTTGTTTATCTATTGACGTGATCTCCCTTTCGAGTTTTATAAATTTTGGATTTTACGTTGTGGGGTTTCATTCATTAAAAAAGGGGGATTTTTCAGTTTTCACACAATAACTCAAAAATGCATTGAGCAGTTTTAATGAAACTTTGGTGAATTGTTTATATCTATTAATGTGAGCTCCCTTTTGAATTTTGTAAAATTTTAGATTTTAAATTTCTGAGTTATGGGATTTTATTCATAAAAAAGAGGGATTTTCCAGTTTTCAGACAATAATTCAAAAGTTCTTTGAGCAGTTTTCATGAAACTTTGGTGACTGGTTTTTATCTATTGACATAACCTTCCTTTAGCTTTTTATAAATTTCTGATATGACATTGAGGAGTTATGGAACTTAATTCTTGTTTAAGCAACAGCTGTATCATGCACTCATGATGCAGCTCTTTATTTTGTTTTGGCAAATTTTAGACTTTTCCATTGTTTTATCTTGGGCTGCTATTGTCAATCGTGACAGCACCTCCTAGTATGTTTTATCTTTTATCCAAATTATAATTTGAATGTCCATTAGCAAATCATGGCCTATAGTTGTTAATTTCTGTGTCATTTGGTCTATTGTGTAGAGTTGTCTCATTGGCAATCATACCACATCTTCTTTTTATATTTAGGGTATTATTTTGTTCTTGTAAGCTTGGTTCATGATACCTCAAGGTTTTTGTCGAAAAGGCGAGACATAGCGATCCTACATTCCGTCAGCGTCGTTGGCGGCGTCCACAAATATTCACTCTGTGGTTAAAGTTTTTGAAATTTTAATAACTTTCTTAAACTATCATGGATTTCTACCAAACTTGGACAGAAGCTTGTTTATGATCATAAGATAATATTCAAAAGTTAATTTTGTAAAAGAAAAATTCCATTTTTTCCGTATTTTACTTATAAATGGACTTAGTTTTTCTGCCAGGAAACATTACATTCACTCTGTGGTTAAAGTTTTTCAAATTTTAATAACTTTCTTAAACTATCCTGGATTTCTACCAAACTTGGAAAGAAGCTTGTTTATGATCATAAGATAGTATCCAGTAGTAAAT